TGCTATAAAATATAGCATTCTGTGTAGAATTCAAATAGCTCTGATACATTTTGTGGTCTGCGCCGACTCGAGCATGTGATCCCAGTGGTGTAGTGGTGCCTGGAGAAGTGGGTATACTCTTAATAACGCGTAAAACTAGTCTTGTGTATTTAGTTCACCCCAAAATGGGCCAGTAGTATTTGCATATTGTCACTTAACTTCTGCTGCTTGACTTCACGGAGTAAGAATCATTATGAAATTAAAATTAGCCACAGAAGAGGTGCAGATTTTGCAATAATTCAAATAAAAAAATTAAAATAGACTGCAGCAATTAACATTTTGTCAGAACCTCTAGTACATTACATGCTATTTTGTTTAGTTGTCTGTTCATAGGAGAATCATGATCTCTATTTGAAAAAGAAAAAAAAATCGTGACTATCAATTTATTCAGAATTTATCCCCACCTCCTTTTTAATATAAATAAGCACCAGTCAAGCTGCGAAATCAAATAGGACCACAGGGAGACGCCAAAAGCCCACTAAACCTGCTGTCTTGATCTTACTGTAATGGATCCATTCAGAATAACTAAACCAGCGCATAATCTAAAACACCTTCAGTCACCATCCAGTATAACACTCGTGCTTTTAAACCAAATACACGCTGAAAATAATAATTTACTGACATCTGGACTCGACTCTCCACAATCTCTGATGAAATTGGTTGGGTTTTCTTTGTATTAGAGCTGTTTTGAACTTACTGTTTGAACACAAAAAAAAGTTTACAGGTTTTTAAGCTATTGTTTTCATTCTAATGTACCGATTCAAATTAGTAATCAAGAATTAAATATTATTTTACCACTCTGCGCACCTCCCCTGATGCTGTCGCGCATGAAGAAGCAGCATCTCTGTCACTATCATGAAACATATTTCAAAGGAAGCCGGCGTCACGGTCCTGACCGCATCACTGTCTTTACTGGGTGTTTTTAGGGAATATTTGTATTTTTCACATGCGATTGGATTAGCTATTCATGTGGTGGACTGTCATGATTTTGCCTAATGCAGGACACTAATGAATGATGCACATCAGAGGGGATTTAGAAGTGGGTATACCTGCGTATACCCTCCACTACACCACTGGTGTAGAGCCCTTTGAAGCTGCATTGAAACTGCATTTTGGACCTTGAAATCATTGGCCACCATCGAAGTCCACTTTATGGAGGAAAATCCTGGAATGTTTTCCTCAAAAAATCAAATTTCTTTGTGACTGAAGAAAGAAAGACATGAATATCTTGGATGACATGGGGGTGAGTACATTATCAGGAAATGTTTATTCTGGAAGTGGACTTCTCCCTTTAAGACGTCTCCGCATCCGCTGGAAGTGTGAGACTCACCGTGGCGTTTCCAGCGGTGTCCGCGGATGGACAGGCTGGTGACGGCGTTACGGGAGATGCGGGAAGCCGTGGGAGTGATCTCCACCTGGATGGAGCGAGTTCCCTCTTTATTGGCTTTCAGAGACGCGCCGTGGAGAGACGACTTGATGGCGTTTCCCACCTGAGCAAGAGTCAGACTTTAGAGCAACACAAAACATCTTTTTATATACAACCGTGTGGATATATCTTCTGTTTGGTGTATATATATTCCCAAATTAGGCATGTAAAAATGCGCAGATGCATCTAGCAAAGAAAATTCAAGTTAGTTATTCTGTATTACATAAAAAAAGTGTTACATGATAATTTCTTATCCAAAAAAAACAATTCATTACCTATTTCCAGTTGCAAAAATGTTATGAATCAAAATTCTTTTTAAATTAAAAAAATATACACGCATATATTATATATAATATATTGTATTATATGGAGGACCAAACCTGCAGAAATAAAAAATAATTACATTAATAGATACACAGATACACAAATAAATAAATGTAATAATAGCAAAATAAATAAAGGAATCAATGATACGTCATCCGCCCGGAACTGCTTCCATTTAAAACAGTGAGCGCAAGCTACATTAAAGTGATTATTAAGTTTTGAATATGGATATTTTTCTTACAAAAACGCATCGATTCGCTACAATATATTTAATAACTTTTAATATAACTCCGACTGGATTCGTCTGAAAGAAGAAAGTCATATTCACCTAGGATGACTTGAGGGTGAGTAATTTATGGGCTAATTTTCATTTTTGGGTGAACTAACCCTTTAATTGAGAGAAAGTCAACTTATGGAAATTTGCAACTGTTTGGATATTGTTCTAAATCATAACTACATTTAATAAAACTAATAAAATTATAAATATATAATTTTCTTAAATAATTGCATTCAAATTAATTGATTAAATATGAATTATAAATTGTAAATTATTATTTTTTTATTTTCAAACATGTTTTTTTATACTTTTATTATGTACTGTATATAAATAATATGTATGTAGCAATATATAATCAAACCAGATTCTGTTTTAATGTACCTAATCTCACCTTCATTTCAATAAAGACTCATTATCAAATCCAGTCACTGTCAGAGCAAGTATTTACTCTCCTAACGTAAGTAATTCCTGCTCTATGGCAGTTTGTGTGGTGCTGTGAGAGCTTGTGTTGGCCACTCTAACAGGATCAGTGAGTGAATGTGAGAAATGCTTCGGCTGTGTGTAATCTGTGCTGAAGCGTGAAACACACCAGCAGTGCTTCTGGGAAGAGCTCCAGCTGCGCTCGGTACAACACGTCATCCAGAGCCCTCGAGCCCAGCTCCACCTCACCGTTACACCTGCACACACACACACAGAGACACACACACACACACACACACACACAGAGAGACACACATACACAGAGAGACACACACATACACAGAGAGACACACAGAGAGACACACAGAGAGAGACACACACACACACACACACACACAGAGTGAAGGGACAGTTTGTCCATAAATAACATTTCTGTCATTGTTTACTCAGCCTCATCTTAGTCCATACTCGTATGGTGTTATCCATGGAACACAAAAGGATTATTTATTTAATTATTTTTAATCAGCCAAAAGGACGTGATTATTGGCAGATGCCGATGATCTCAAAATGGCCAAATACTGAAGAATATTCCCGAACATTTTTTTTTTCTACAAAAGTGACGACATCTGTCAAGATCCTTCAAAAAGATCATGTTGTGCTCCACAGAAAAAACTAAAAAAATAAAATAAAATAAATAAAAACAAATTAACATCACCAAAATGATGAAGTAAAAAAAACTAAAACACTACATAAAAAAAGAAACAAAATGAATAAATAAAAGTATGCAGGGTCAGAACAAAATGACTGAGTAGAAAAAAGTAATTACAATTTTTTTTTTAAGCAATTAAATAACTATTAAAAAAATTTGGAAACTGATACAAAACAGAACAACTTATTTTTACCCAGCCAAATGGAAATGGTTATGGGCATATTCTGATATTCTGTGCCTCTCAAAATGGCCAAATCTGCCCAACATTTTTTTTATTTCATACAAGTGTGACCACATATGTCAGGATCCCAAAAAAGATCCTTTTGTGTTACACAGAAGAAAAATAAAATAAAAAAATACAGTAATAAGTTGTACATTATTATTAAAAAATATATATATAAAATATTTAAAAATAAAAAATATATACTTAAAAATGTAGCATTAAAAAAAATCACATAACTATTTCTGCATTTGGGAACTAATACAAAAGGGAACAACTGATTTTTAATCAGTCAAATTAAAAATGATTATTAGCAGATGCAGATAATCTCAAAATTAACTGGCCTAATACTGACCAATTCATTTTTGAAGAATATTTTTGTATTCTACAGGAAAAATAAATAAAAACTATCAAAGTATACAGGGTTAGAACAAAATGATTGAGTAGAAAAAGAATAAGACAAAAAAAAGGTTACAAATTACATAACTATTTTAAAATTTCAGAACTGATGCAAAAGGTAACAGTTTAATTTCAGTCAACTAAATGGAAATTATTGACAGATGGTGATAAATCTTAAAACGGCCAAATATTTGATGAATCTTTTTTCATACATTAACAAAATCTTCCAAAAAGATCTTTTTGTGTTCCACAGAAAAAATATAATAATAATTAAATAATAATAGTGATGATAATTAAAAATACCGTATACATGCTTAAAACAAAATGATTGAGTAGAAACAAAATAATAATAAATAATATTAAATAATCTATACTTTTAATAAGCATCTACCTAGTTTCACTTTGACCAGAACAATCACATTAAGAAAGTATGAAAGAAATGTGTGATAATGATAATGAGATGGGCGGGGCGTGGGGGAGACTTGAGGCCACGCCCCATCATCTACTCCCATTGATAATGATAATGAGATGGGCGGGGCGTGGGATATACTTGAGGCCACGCCCCCATCAGCCACTCCCATTGACAGTGATAATGAGATGGGCGGGGTGTGGGGAGACTTGAGGCCACGCCCCCCTCAGCCACTCCCATAAACACATGTGATAGCAGGTTTGTTCTGAATGACTCACAGTGCGAAATGAATGCCGGTGATGAGCTGCACGAGGAACTCTGACGTGACCATGAGCCTCGAGCTGATGCCTTTATAGCGCCGCACCTGCTGCCGCGGATATCCACAGATACTGACTCTAAAACACACCAAAACACAAACAACTCAATCAAAATCTGAATCATGTTCAATGAAAAGCCCATGTTTGTCGTCTACCGGTGTGAATTCATTACTAGGATCAGTGTTTAGTGTTATCGGGCCCATGAGGGAGTGTGATGTGACCTTTGACCCGCTCAATCTGAGGCCTGCAGTCGAGGGAATGATCTTTGCTCGCTCAGCTGTAAACGCCAGCTGATTGGTTGAGTGATCAGTCATGTGACCGTGAGCGGTCACAAATCTGAGTGCGTTCAGGTTCAGGTCTACAAGAGGATCAGGGTGACTGGAAGCAGAGAGGATCATGGGTGGATTTGAGACGCATTATTCACAACAAACCCGACCTGAAGACCCGATGAGAGCAGATCTGAACTGCACACTGTCCAAAAATGCATATAATAAATGCACATAAACTAGGTGAAATTAAATAAAATCGAAATAATATTCAAAATAATATTTATTCACAAAAAATGTTAATGATAAATAATGTGTTTGAAGAAAGAAAAAAAAAGGAATACGTTTAAATAAATAAGTGAATATTTATTTATTTAATTAATTTATTCATTCATTTATTTACTAACTAACAGCCTTGGTAATGGATAATAAATAAATAAACACACTAAATAATTTTAAATAATTATATACATTAATACATTAATTATTTCATTGTTTCAAATAAAAATTAAACTAAGTATTTAGTAAATAAATGATTTAAATAAATGAATGCATTGTATTTTAATAAATTCATTTAAATAATTAAATCTGAATATAATTTAAACTAACTAAATAAAAACAAATAGGCTTGGCAATCACTGAATAAATGAAGGATTTTTTATTTACATTTTTATTTTTATTTTTTGGGAACTGATACAAAAGGGATTAACTTATTTTAATCAACTAAACAGAGATTGACCTACACTGGAAATCTCAAAAAAGCCAAATATCAGCCAAATTACTCAAATTACTGCCCTGCCTGACATACTTCTGGAGGTCTGGATTGAAGGTTGGCAGCGACACCACAAGGAGGCAGGAGACGAGCTCAAGATGATATATTTCTTAAAGCAAACAAGCAATTAAAGCAGTGAATCAATTAATTTTGACCATACAAAACGTTGGTGCTCAAACATTTGACATTTATGCCTCTGTGCTGGTCCATCACATCCCTCAGAGTTCATTATAAAACGGACAGTGTGTGTTTTTAGGCTGAAACTGTATGTTAGTGTGTCGAACCTGGAGCTGAGCTGACACAGAGACTGCAGAGACGAGCTGCTCATGTAGCTCAGAGACGCATTATAACACAGCAGCAGGAACGTCAGCACCTCAAACCTAAAACACACATCATCAAATTAGAGCTGCAAAACACACCATTCAATCCCCAGTCAGTACTCATTTGCTGATTAAAAATTGATGGCTATAATAAAAGCGTGGGGCGCGGGATGAATATTTGATGCGCACCTGTTCTGCGCGGTGAAGGTCTCGCGCTGCAGGTGGGGGCCGCTGTACACCACACGACTCAGACCGTGATTGGCTAAGGCTCCTTCCGTCAAGGCCAGAGAGCCAATGGAAGACGGCTGGGGGCGGGACACAGAGACGGACAGTCAGGACAGATGCAGAGTAGAGCTGTGACCGTGAGGAAATCGACGTGTGACAATATCACCGTATCCTCGCTTTCTTTCGCTTTTAAATAGCTTGTAGTAGTAGCAGTGGGAGTATATATTTATTTAATGCCATGTCAGCATCTTAGGCTATTTTCATGGCAAAAACAATACAAGTATAACAAATACAATAAAAACCAGCAAACAAACTCAACACAAGTTATATTAATACCAGCTTCAGTACAAAATAAACATGACTAAACATCCGAAGGTAAGAGTACAACTTTACAATCCGTATCCTGTCTCATGTAATCTCTCAATTAGTGTTTCAGCCACGCAAAGACGTCAATATAACGGCTTGTAAACAATGTCACGTAACGTCACATTTCAATGTTTCATTTATATATTTTTTTATGACAGCCACCATTTACATTTTTATATTTAAAAAAAACGAACTGAAGTAGAAATATTATGTGATTGTAACTTTTATTATACCAACTTCATTAAGTGTAATTTATAGCCTAAAAAAATCAGTCTGTTTTAACCTTCAATATTATAGTAATGTAGCACCAACTGACTCTCATGTATATTTTACAGCATTAGTTAAGAGAATTTTTTTCCTTGAGAAAATTTGGCATGTACTGTACCTGATATGTGACCCTGAACCACAAAACCAGTCACAAGGGTCAATTCTTTGAATCATCTGAAAGCTGAATAAATAAGCTTTCCATTGATGCAGGGCTGTACAGTGCGACATATATGTGCATTTCGTTGTGCTTGTTTGTGTGTGTGAGATTGATTATACTTGGTAGTTAGGGGTGTGCGATATGACGATTTTTGAATGTCTCCACGATCTGCTTTTGAAGAAATATCGTTGTATCTGCTACAGCGCACATTCTATCAGCTGCAGTTCTGGCGCCTCCCTCCGTCTCAATATAATGTTAATATCCTAATGATTTTTGGCATAAAATAAAAATCTATAATTTTGAGCCATACAATGTATTTTTGGCTATTGCTACAAATATACCCCAGCGACTTAAGACTGCTTTTGTGCTCCAGGGTCACAATTATCTATAATAATCGATATTGAATCGAATTGCAAGCTTGTCTTTGGTCTCGTCTTTCTCACCTCACTCTTCTCGTCAGTCAGCTCGACTCGCTCTCCTCACGTGATAAATGAACTGTTCTCTAACTGAACTAAATGATTTTTATTACTAGAAAAAATCTAAAAGACGGTGGGCAAGTGACATAACTGGTGTTGTGGCTTAAGAGACGGATCAGATCGACTCACCTCGTGATAAACCGATGGCTTCGATAAGGAAGGGATGGTGAAGGACAACACTTTACTCTGCCCGTCTTTATCAACGATTTCCTGAGAGAGAGAAATGATAAACATGACGGATTCAGACACACGAGGGAACATGCAAACAACAAAACCCTGCAACTGTACTGAAGATACACAAGGCAATAACCTTAATGACGATGCCTTTACAAATAAGCATATTTATGAGATTTATGAGCACATAGAGGTGTCGCATTTACTGTATTTAACTCGTTTTGTGTGCTGTCGATGAAGAACAGCAATAAAGCTCACCCAAAAACACCAATCATTTTAAGACAACAGGATTGCATTAAAAAAAAAAAAAGAATAAAAAAATTTCCCATCGGTCTCTTTGGCAGAATGATGAAAGCAACCAGATAAAGCATCAAGTACACATCTAATGCATTTCCTTTGCACTGCAATTTCATTTTGTTCCTTTAACACTGAAAACAAAAGCTGCCCGTCTTTGTCAGAAAGCGAAACTGGAGAAACAAACACGTTTATTCGTTTATTTGGATCCCTATTAGCCACAACCAAGGTTATTGCCCAAAGTGTTCATTTTATTTCAATTAAAACTCATCTAAAGAATGCATAGACACAAAAAACAAAAGCAAAACTGTATTTCACCCCCTCCCCAAAGTCTGATCATTTATTACAAATTAAATATAAATACTATATCTATATAAATTTTATTTCACCTAAAAAATTAATATAAATAAATATAAAACTTTAAATATATCAATATTACAAAAACACTTCCCCAAAAAATTATAATTGTATATACTTATAAAATATAGAAAAGATTTCCCCCATTATATATTTTATATACAGTGGGGCAAAAAAGTATTTAGTCAGCCACCAATTGTGCAAGTTCTCCCACTTAAAAAGATGAGAGAGGCCTATATATATATACTGTACAAAGTTAAATCTAATAAAACATGTTTCAGGCATAAAGGATTTTGACTCTGAGCTGTAAAGCTGTGCTTGTGTATAATATGACCAAAAAGACCATGACGAAGCCTTTGGTCACATGTATCTGGAAAACAACTGAGCTGCAGTCAGAAACACAGTGAAGCTCGAATAAAGCTCAGCGCCTCGTCACTCCTCAGCACTGATGGTGAACGTGTCATGAGTTTGACAAGATGTTGAAACATTTCAGCACAGTCATGATGAACGGTTCACACGACTCGAGACTTCTTCAGAGCAGATCGAGTGAGATTTCAGTGTCGCTCTGCAAACACAGGACACCCACAGACCGTCTGTCGCTGATTGACAGCTGACCTACTCTGACATTCAGGGCGACTTCACGGGGCGTAAAACCCATGAAAGACTTCCCTTCTCACAGCCGGATAAAAACACCACTTCCTGCTCAAAAATCCACAGCTAAAGTTCACCGGAAAAGCCTCTCTGAGCCACATCTACACCATTTCTTGACATGATTTTTAGGGCTCGGGGAAAAGCCTTGAATATCTTTCAAAGATGTTTCCAAGTCACATTTATGTGAACTCGTTTGCTGATTAAAAATTGATGAATTAATAATTATTAATAATATTTTATTAAATTTATTATTATTATTAGTGTTAGTAGTATTATTACGTTGAGACATACGTTCTTTTGTACAATCGCAGTATGTTTCTGTCACAATTTCTTCACGTGAAACAGAACTTTTATTTTGGCGGGTTGTCATGAAGACCTTTGAGTTTCTGTGTGTATATCGTATGATTGTTTTATTTTATTTTGCTCATCATAATAGTAATAAAATAAATAAAAATAAAACGTACTTCATAAGCCCCTAAAAGTGTACATTTTGTTAAACTTTTAAAAAATTGCTGGTAAACTGTGTACGCTTCATGATTTTAATTAATTAGTCATGCTTTGTGATTACTAAAATTACTTTTGATTAATAAAATACTAAATGTAACTATTAATACACAGTCCAGAATAAACTAAAACCAAAAAAAAAAAAATGCAGAAAAATGAACAAGTGGAGAAAAAACAAAACAAAACAACAGAATTTAGAAAAAAATAAAACAGATTTTGGGAAAAGAATAAAACAGAAGGCCCTATAAACATGTATTTATGTACATTAATCTTGCAAAGTTCTTCAATTACGAAACAAATTCGATCCAACTATAAACCATTCTTCAGCTGAATTCAGTTCAGTGTTGATTCAATTCAGTGGATTCAGTTTTGTTTCAGTTTTATTCAATAGCTGTGTCAATGCTGCAAAGTTGATTGAAAAGACAATACTGTCATTATTCAGCTCAATTCAGTTCAATGCTGATTCAATTCATTTCAATTATAGTGTCAATTTTGCCAAGTTAATCAATTATGAAAAATCTATTTATCTAGAGTATAAAGCAGCTCTACAGAAGATAACAGCCTCATTATTCAACTAAATTCAGCGGGAGTTTTGTTCTCACCCGAGAGCGTCAGCGCAGTCATATGGATAATATTAGTAGTAGTATATTTTTATTCAATGCCATGTCAGCATCAAAGGCTATTTTCATGTCAAAAGCAATTCAAAAAACGCAAGTATAACAAATACAATAAAAACCAGCAAACAAACAAACACAAGTTATATTACACAAGATTTCTTACATTAACATATGATAAAAATTCTAAAACTTTTTCTGGCAAAATTATACAAAATAACTCTTTAAGTGAGTTCATATGGATAATATCATTTGTGACCCTGGACCACAAAACCATAAGGGTCAATTTTTTTGAAATTGAGATTTATACATCATCTGAAAGCTGAATAAATAAGCTTTCCATTCATGTATGGTTTGTTAGGATAGGACAATATTTGGCCGAGATACAACTATTTGAAAATCTGGAATCTGAGGGTGCAAAAAAATCTAAATATTGAGAAAATCATCTTTAAAGTTGTCCAAATGAAGTTCTTAGCAATGCATATTACTAATCAAAAATTAAGTTTTGATATATTTACAGTAGGACATTTACAAAATATCTTCATGGAACATGATCTTTACTTAATATCCTAATGATTTTTGGCATAAAAGAAAAATCGATAATTTTGACCCATACAATGTATTGTTGGCTATTGCTACAAATATACCCCAGCGACTTAAGACTGCTTTTGTGCTCCAGGGTCACCTCTGTGGTGTGCAGCATGTGTTAGTTGAGCAGGGCTCTCACCAGGTTGTAGATGCCGAGCAGAAGTGCCTCGATGCAGCCGCTGCAGTGAGGATCTCGCGCCGCCGTCACCAACAGGTAACTCCACACCAGCTCCGGCAGAAACTGCAGAGTGAAGCGCTGTAAACGCGGCTCGCCGCTGCGGTAAAACTCGAACAACTGATGACACACCGGCTCCAGCAGCTGACACACACAAACACATCCCCGTTACAAACCAGTGCACCACTATACCAAACACAAATCTGATTTAAATACAATACAAACAGATTAAAGCAGGTCATATGTTTTGGGGGCGGGGCAAAATACATTACCAAGAGTCACGTCAGGCATTCGACAGTCATAATTACTGACGTTAACACACAGGAGAAATGTGTAACGGATGCCTCACAGATACAAACAGGGTAAATAATGTTAAAAGATTAAATTAAATTAAATTTTGATTAAAAGGTAGTTAACATTAAATGTCAGCGAAACCCTAAGAATTCACAACACTTTTTACAATAGTGCTCTCATTATAACGTTATGTATATGACAGTAGTTATTAATGTTCTGCATTTCTGTTTTGAGCTGCGCGCGCTG